AGGAATTAAGGCAATTTCCTCGGGATTTTGGGCCATTTCCTTAGGATTTCAGGTTGTTCCCTAGGAATCAAGTCCATTTCTTCAGGAATTAAGTTAAATCCCCCAGGATTGGGGCCCTTTCCCCAGGATTGGGGCCCTTTTCCCAGGATTTCAGGCCCTTTCCCCGGGATTTGGGGCACTTTCCCCAGGATTTGGGGCACTTTTCCCCATATTGGGGCTCTTTCTGCAGGATTGGGGCACTTTTCCGTGGGTTTAGGGCCCTTTTCCCAGGATTTGAGCCCTTTCCCCAGGATTTGGGCCCCTGTTCCTCGGATTGGGGCTCTTTCCCCAGGATTTGGGACCCTTTTTGTGGGATTCAGGGCCCTTTTTCGCCAGATTTGGGGCCCTTTTCCCAGGATTTGGGCCCTTTTCCCAGATTCAGGGCCCTTTCCCCAGGATTCAGGGCCCCTTTTGCAGGATTCAGGGCCCCTTTTCCCCAGATTGGGGCCTTTTCCCCAGGATTTGGGGCCTTTTCCCCAAGATTTGGGGCCCTTTCCGCAAAACTTGGGGCCCTTCTCCCCAGATTGGGAGCCTTTTTCCCCAGATTTGGACCCTTTTCCCCAGGTTTGGACCCTTTTCCCCAGGTTTGGGGCCCTTTTCACACAATCTGGCGCCCTCTCCACAGGATTTGGAGCCTTTTTCCCAGGTTTGGGGCCCTTTTCCCCAGGATTGGGGCCCTTTTCCCACAATTTGGGGCCCTCTCCACAGGATTTGGAGCCTTTTTCCCAGGATTGGGGCCCTTTTTCCCAGATTTGGACCCTTTTCCCCAGGATTGGGGCCCTTTTCCCACAATCTGGCGCCCTCTCCACAGGATTTGGAGCCTTTTTCCCAGGATTGGGGCCCTTTTCCCCAGGATTGGGGCCCTTTTCCCCAGGTTTGGGGCCCTTTTCCCACAATTGGGGGCCCTCTCCGCAGGATTCAGGTCCCCTCGGGGGCCCCTGACGCCCTTTCCCTTCCGTCCCCGCGCCGGCGGGCGCCGCAGGAGCGGGGCGCCGGCAGCCCTCCTTGGAGCCCATGGCCCCGCCGGGCGCCCCGCTGCTCCACGTGGACTTCCCGGAGGTGCCGGCCGCCCTCCTGGCCAAGCTCAACCAGCAGCGCGTCGAGGGGAAGCTCTGCGACGTCTCCATCCACGTGCAGGGCCGCGTGTTCCGCGCGCACCGCGCCGTCCTCGCCGCCTCCTCGCCCTTCTTCCACGACCAGGTGCTGCTCAAGGACATGACGTCCATCGTGCTGCCCGGCGCCATGGACCCCGGCGCCTTCGAGACGGTGCTGGGCGCCGCCTACACCGGCCGCCTCTCGCTGGCGGCCGACGAGCTCGTCAACCTGCTCACGGTGGGCAGCGTGCTGCAGATGTGGCACATCGTGGACAAGTGCACCGAGCTGCTCAAGGAGGGTCGGGCCGGCGCCGCGGCCGCCCACGCGGCCTCCAACCCAACGGCGTCCAACCCGGCAGCGTCGACCCCAACAGCGTCCAACCCGACGGCATCGAAGGCAACAGCGACGAACGCAACGTCYTCGATCGCGACGGCGTCCAACCCGACGGCGTTGAATCCGGTGGCGTCCAACTCAACGGCGTTGAACCCGACGGCATCGATGCCGACGGCATCGAACCCAACGTCATCGAACTCCGTGGCGTTGAACCCCATGTCACCGAACCCGACGGTGTTGAACCCAGTGTCACCAAACCCAATGGCGTTGAACCCAACGTCGTCAAACTCAACAGCGTTGAACCCAATGTCACCAAACCCAACGGTGTTCAACCCCGCGTCATCCAACTCAATGTCATCGAACTCAACGGCCTCGCCAAACTCAACGTCGTTGAGCTCAACCTCATTGAACTCAATGGCATCGAACTCGGCGTCATCGAACTCAACCGCGTCGAGCGCCATGGAACTGAGCTCCACGGCATCGAGCTCCACGGCGTCGGCCTCGGCGCCCTCGTCCAGCCTGTCGGCGGCCGCCAAGCGCCGCGGCTTCCCCGCCAGGTTCCTGGAGGAGGAAGAGGAGGAGGAGGAGGAAGAGGAGGAGGCGGCCGGGGGCGGCGCGCGGCGGGCGCTCTACGTGCCGCCCCGCATCGTCCCGCAGAAGCAGTGGGTCTACGTGAAGCGCGAGTGGCTGCACGAGGACCTGCT